TTACAGAAAGTGGTTTCTTAGAGTAGACAATAGTTTGGGCTAGATTCGCAGATTTGCTTTGGCTGTTTTGCTCTGCTCTGGCACAGCGAAGCAGACATAAACCCAGCTTAACTGGGTGGTTAAACCATGTGTACGGCTGCTTGCTTTGCTGGAATGGCACAATGCTGCCAAAGAGAACCAGTAACTCTGGCCCTGAATATTCAGCTCTGAGAAATGGTGATCTCCAAATACATGGCTCCAAGCGCAATCAATGAAGCTGAGCTAAACACGAAGATCCCTGGCATTGGAGCTTCAAGCAGCTCAGCCGACAAAATGAACTGACCACGTACAAAAGATCTCAAAAAGGTGTACGCCACAAGTTGTGACTAGCCCACCAAAAGCCATCCTGAAGATGGATCTTTGCTTTTAGGGGGGAGAGCTGTGAAATAAATGAATACAAACCCCATGCCCATCAGCACCCTGATAAATGTGTGTGTTGATAACCATTTCATTAGGTTGTGATTGGTGGTTTTTGGAGTAGCAAAACTATCTATGTGACTCTTTTCCTGGATTTCTTATACCTCTGCTTTGGAAAGTAGAGAGACTGTGGCTTGTTATCATGCAGGGCTTGCACTATTTCCTGTTGGCTTTCCGTTGTGCTCCTGAGCTATTGTAAAAGTGGTCAGTATCTTCTTCTAGGTTGTAAGCACGTCACCTTAATATTTCACAGCTGCTACGGGTAACTTTAAACTGCACCATCTGAACACTTGCAATTAGCAAGCGAAATGGGGGGTTTGGGACTACAGCTGTTTTGAGTGTTAAAACAACAGCAGCAACAGAAGTTGCTTTTAACTTTGTCCAAAACTGGAATAAAGTTCTGGAGCTGAAATTCTTCCTTCTTTGTGAGGCCACTAAAATTGTGTGGAGTATGAAACAAAACAAAAAACCAACAAAAATGCCCAAACAAAATCCACGGTTTGTTTATTTACGCAAATGAAAGAAAAAAAGAAGAAAAAGACTTTGGGTTAAGTCTGTGTGTATCTAGCTGCAGATTCTCACCTTCAGTAACCGTGCACTAAAATTATGCTTTCTGACCGATGTTGCTTTCAATCCACATCACTGTCACCAAGCGTAATTAAAAGACTTAGTCCCTGTTTTCAGTTGTACTTGTCACCTGCCCCTTCCTCAGAGTGTTTTTGATCCCATGATTAATAATACTGAGGGGCAGAGACTGTTGGATTGCATTTTTCATGCCACTGTTACACCCGTTACGGGCTGGTACTGTGTTAGGCTGGTTTTTCTCTTGCCGCAGTACCAGACTACAGAAGTGTTGTTAAATCCTCTCCATAATGCATAAGAATAAGGAATTAGGAAATCAAGGTGCTACATTCCAATGGAACTGCCAGTTCTCTAGGGAAAGAGGGTAGAAGAAATGCTTGCATCACATTGCCAGAAAAAAGCTATTCACCAAGCAAAGTTGCACATGTCTGATGAATCTGATTGCTGGGGCAAATGAGACAGATAAGGATCAAGTTTGGTTTGACACCTCCCAGGGCTGAGGGCTGGTTTAGTATGTGTACATTATCACCCTTTGAATAATCTATACAGTGTGCATGCTAAGCCTGAATCTTGCAGATTTACTTGTCAATCAGGTCATTGAGCTGGAAAGTCGCCAAGCTGCTGCCAAGTTCAAATGAAGTAAAATTCGCACTGTCTGTCTGGCCTGTGTTTGGGGGACGGATTTTATGCAAAGCTGTTTGTAAATTCATCCTAACCCTTTTAGAAAACTGCACGTGGTCAATACATTCAATGTTACTCCTTAAACATTAATTGAATAAAGGGGAAAGCTGTGGCCAGAGGTCCATCGATGATGCATCACTTCTCTGAATCAAGTAGCCCAGACTGTACTTTTCCAAACCTAAGGCTAAGAGATAAACTTCTGTATTTAACTGATGCTAATTCTGTCTCTTCCTGCCCCCCAGGTTGGTCTTGTGGAGATGTTTAAGGGGAGCAGATTACAATAATATCAGCAAATAACATTACCCCAACAAACGCTAAGTGTACATGTTAAAAATGGGTCCAAACTGCAACCCCCTGAGCTGGATTGTGGCACTGTCAGAGTGTGGGCGTGTTTTGGTTCGGGCACTCCACAAATGTATGGATCAGCCTCAGAATCCTGCTAGAGATGGAGGTTCAGACTGGGGAAATTCAGATCTGGGATATTAACTCGTGTCCCTCTCTCATGGAAAGTGATGGCTCTATTAACTTTACACATTTAAAGCACTTGTCATCTTAAAATCTCCCGTTATTTTACAACTATCCATGCATAAAGCTTGAGCCATACCCTGATGAGGTAGATGAGTATTATTCCCATTTTACAGATGAGTAAACCGAGGCACAGTAATGTTGTGACTTGCCCAAAGTCACACTGGAAGTCAGCAGCAGGATCAGAGTTAGAATCCAGGAGTCCTCACTCCCAGTCCTATATTATAAGAACTAGACCATTCAATCACTAGTTACTGAGAGAGCTACAGGCATTGGAGGATTGTTTTGTGGTGTTGTCTGTGTTGATAGCATGTTGCCATGGTCATTTGGGACCTGAGCTTACATATCAGTCTCTGTTCATCATTGATCACTTACTTTCACTGACATTTAATGCATCATTAAAAATCCCAGGTTATTTTTCTGCTTAGAGCGTTAGAGGCATCAAACTGCATAAATCACAATGACTGTGTTTGTGACAAAACCAACCAACCAAAAATCTCCTGGATTTAATATTACGTTAATTCCTGGGTGCGCCTCTCTGTAGGTTACTAGGCAGATAATTTTCACTTGGATGATGTTGTCTGTAGAAAAAGTAGGGCCAGTAACCCTGGTAAATTGAAATTTGTGGTTTGTTCTGCTCTCTGTGTGAGAAACAGGGAGAGATTTAAACAAGGACCAGCAGAAAGTGGAAATGAATTGTTTTCTTTTCTTTTTGTTATAAAACATATTGTCAGACATGGCAGAGTTTCTAAGCAGCAGATTATTTATTACTGTTTCTTATTTAGTTAATATTTATCTTTCTGGATCCAAAGCTCATTGAAATCAGTGGGAGTCCTTCTATTGACTTAAATGGGCTTTGGATCAAGGCTTAGAAGCGGATCTATCTGGATTCAGTCATACACTCCACAGCTCAAGAGACTCAAGTCCTCCGGCCACAGAACAAGTGCAACACAGCAAGAACTGATGCAAGTCTCTTGGTCTCTGTTTCCTTAACAATGTGTCTCAGCCCTGTCCTGGAGAGACCACCTCTAGGGAGTTTAGTCTCTGAGGCACATTTAATCCCTAGCTCCTCTGCTGAGAATGCGAACAAAGGTGCCAGCTAATACCATTTGTAATAGTTGATTTTGTAATGTGAACACATGTCCACCAAGAAGTGCACTGAAGCCCCCTACCAGGGTTGGGCTGGGGTTAATTTTTCCAGGGCATTTGCTAATTAATAACCATGTAACACATGAGGATAACAGGCCAGCCTAAGCAAAGTCAAATCCATAAAACCTCTCTGCAGATTGGAGGGAGAGAGAGAAAGGAGGGATGTGGACAACACAGGAAGAACTTCTGCTCTAATCAGCCAAGAGCTAAGGCAAGCAAGTGTAGGACAAGATCCTCCAAGTCAATGGAGCATGGTCCACCAGCTGAGGATCTGGCCCAGTGTATTTAATCATCAGTGGACTTTCCAGCACAAGCAACACAGATGATTGCTTAGGCACCCATGCTGACTTGTAACTCATTTGTCAGACCAGTCTCCTCATCCTCCTGGGAGACAGGGTGGAAGTTATTGCAGTGGGATGAAAGGCAGTAACTCTCCTGGCAATGGGGCTGGATGGGAAGGAAACTCATGACCTGAATTCCTCTCTTCCATCCCACTTCTGGCAGTTGAAGGCCTCACCTTTGCTGGAAGCAATGTGAAGGATGAGGCCTGCCCTGCAACGTGCTATGGCAAACCTTGGGCCCAGGGTGCAGAGCGTCTCTGAAGACACTGGACGCTATGAATGCTCAGCACTTTGTAGGAGGCACTCGGTACCTTGCAGAATCCAGCTCTTGATGTGAAAAAAAGGCTTCCATAGTCAGACAGTATAACAGATACAAGTCCTAAGGCCACCTATAATCTTGAGATAGAGCCACATGTTATCAGGGTATGGCAAGGCACCGGGGAACAAATCCAATCTCGGCCTAATCAGCTAAAACACCCACTGAAGTTAATGGGAATTGTGCCCCTTTGACCAGGACAGTATTTGGCCCATCAGGAAGACAGTCTTTCATACCGAAAAAGACCATGCTGTCTTGTAATGGATCAGCTGTTTAACAGACAGCCAACATAAAGCTTTCATCACAAGGGATACATACTGTGAAAATTTTGTCTGAGTGATAAACCTTGCTCCATGGAGAGCCTTCTGGAGTCTGGGTTATCTGAGTCCCGCAAGCACGGAATAGCTTAGAAGTGACAGCCCATGCCCTTGTAATCAGTGAAGTAACAGCAATCACAGCCAAGCGATGGGCCTCAAATAGTAAAGGGTGGAGTTATATTAACCATGGAAAGAAAGCTTGGGAAATGGATAAGGCCACTGAACAATGTCTGCAAAATAACCATTTGTTCTCATCAAAGGAAACAAACGTAACTATCTCCACTGCATTTATCTTCCAAAGGTGCTGACCCACCGGTCAGCCTGGATACCTTGGCTGTTATTGTTACTAACAGAGCCCTGCGAATGACCAGGGGGTTTGGGGATCAGTGGTCAAATCAAAAAATAATATGGTTTTTTTAATTGTTTCAGGTCGAGCTGAAATAAAAAATTTGAAAAAGTTGAAAAAATGTTGTTTTGTGTTGAACAAAACATTTTGTTTCTATTTTGAAGGTCTTATAATGTTTTTAATCGGTTTTTAAATCAAATTGAGAACACTTCAAAATAATACATCTTTCTGAAATGAAAAGTTTCAACATTTCGTTTTGGAAATACCCAAATGAACCAGTACCAAACTTTTTTCTTTTTTTTCTTTTTCTTTTCTCAACTGAAACACTGCCAAAATTGACCAAAGTTCACAAATGGGTTCAGTGAACCCAACTCTGCAATTTTTATTTTTGTTTTTTTGGGAAAAAAAAGGATTTGCATGAAAAATGTTGCCTAGCTCCAGTAAAGTTTAGCACGACGGATCAGGGAATCTGGCTATCACGTGTGCATGATTATTACTGCCCATGGTATAAATGATGGGCATCACAATGACGATGCAACATCATTTACTTTCCTGGTACCTGGCACTGCCTGTCCCTCTCCCTCATTTGTTTTTTCTCACCCGCCTGTTACACTTTCTCATAACCTAAATGGTGGGCTCTTGGGGGCAGTCTTCTTCCTATATGTCTGTACAGCACCTGACACAAAGGGGTGCTCCTTGACTAGGGACCCTGGCTGCTGGTGCCATGTAATAATAACTAATAAAGGCCCACATAAATCAGCGAGGAGATTTTGAATTGTCTGAGGCACTGCATGATAACAAAGTTGGTTTTAATGTTCCTAAGTACAAATACTAAGACTAGCCGCAGGTCAGGGTAAGGGTAATTTGAAATTAATTTCTAATTAATACAATTTAACAAAAAAACACTATCACATTAAAAGCCAATCTATAAACAGGAGAAGAATTTTTTTTTTAATTCGGGCTCGTAAACCATGAACTGGTAATGGCTCACACACAATATTTTTTCTTTGTATAGTATCTAAGTGCTTTCCTTCAGGTAGTTACCATTGCTGGAAATATAATGACAACAATTTACCAACAGCACACCATCCCGTTTATAGTAGCTGATTCACTGCTTGGCCTGCATCTATAACCAATTTTAAAACAGACGTAGAATGCTAGAGTGACGGGTGGGCTGAGCACAGATCTGAATGCCAGGAACTCCTGAGTTTGGATCCTGGCTCCTAGATCTCTGCCCTGGAGCAAGTCACTTAATCTCTCTCCGCCATCTCCTCATGGGTAACGTGTGAAAAATGCTGGCTTGTGTCTACTTCCTCATTGTGTCATAAGATAACCAGAATACAGTGTTAAAATGAGACCATGGTATTTTCGATTTTGATTCAGTCATTGTACAAAATCATTAAAATACCTGCTTCTCTTTTCTGTGAAAATTCCACGTAGATGTTTTAAAAGAGAATGCATATGTCCCTGAATTCCCCTCGCAAAGGCATTAATAACCCCAGGAAAAGACCCTGGATGGATAAAGGCCAATAGTTACATTACATTACATTAATTCTCAGCATTTCCCATGATATTTGATGGTTTAAGCCAATATGCTAAAAAGAAGGGAAAAAAAAGTAAGAGAGCTCATTAACTTTCAGACAATCTGGAAAATGCTTTGGCAAGACTTAGCTGCAGCCTGAAGGTTCTGAGCCAGATTCTGACGGGTGACTGCAGCACCTGCCATGCATAGCAGAAAACAAGTGGCCTTGATCCTACTTCCTCCCCAAGTTGTGGAGGAAACTCCTCTGTGGGTAGTCTGTGGCTTCATCATGGAAGGAACTGGACCACGATGAAACTGAGCCTTTTCTGCTCCTTCATGTCCCTCACCTTTTTAAACAAATCGCCGCTGAACTTTGGTTACATGGAACTCCCTTATGCTGAAAGTCCAGCAGCTTAACCAATGAAGGGGGAAAGTCATTTCCCCACATATACAATTGCTTGGAGCATGCAACTGCTCCTTAAATTATTCCTACTCTTGGCATTACAGTGTTCAAGTGAGCTTTGTGTCAGGCTGGGCCATTAGTGCCAACCCCAAATATACACACATCATAAGTCACACGCTTTAAAATCATGAGAATGGCATAAAATTCATGCTTTTTTTTAAATAGGTTCTTTTTATTTGCCTGCTAGATTGTGAGCCTTTTAGATGCATTTGGGTCATATTTTCAAGCTGTTCTGCACAAAACTGAGAGCTAGAAACTTGCTTTGATTTTGTAATGAACGTTTAACCCCATGACTCCAGGAGCTGGAGCTTTGAGAGAAAGACCAACTATTGTGAGACGCATGTTAAAACCATGAGAGTTGGTGACATCGGAGCAGATGAGCACATGATGTTGTCACTTTTGCAACGTGTGTGCCAGGAACTCAGCTGCCTCCGGACTGGGCTAGGTCCAATAAACCTGCATTAAGTGACTGTGCTTCCTGGTTGGTCAGAAGAGCCAACAGATCACTATATAAACCCTGTAGCAACAGCTACACAGTGGCTGCTCAATGTGCCCCATGCCTGCAGCTGCACCAGACCTGCTTCCTGTCTAGCCCATGCTCCCCCCTTTGCCTGTTCTGCTCCAGCCTAGGCCCCGCCTGCCTCCTGGCTCTGACCACTGGCTTGCCTCCTGACCACGACTCAGGCTATCCCGTTTGGTTCTGTTCTGACGTCTGGCTCCAGCCATTGGCTTGTCTGGCTCTGCCTGCTGATTCTGCTGTGACCACTAGGTTGCACTGCCTACACCTTAGTGTGTGCGCCTGGCAATTTGGGGGAGGTTAGCCAACATGAGCCAGAATTTATTATATTATCCCTCCATGTATGTCCAGGAGGGACCATTAGTATCATCAAATCGGACCTGCGTAATTCAGGCCATAAAGTTCCACCCAGGAACAAGTGGCTGAACAAGAGCATAGCTTTTGGAAAGATGGCCACAGTCGCTAACGAAGAAGTTTGAACCTGCTAGCATGAAACAGTTCTTCCAGAGAAGATGGGATGCATATTGCTTCCGAGATGCGTCAAAGGGGAAAATAAACCCTGTTGTCCTTCTCGCCTCGTGGGATAGAAATGTCTTTGACCCCAGAGCTGGGCAGATTATTTCTTGCTGTGTCACACGGCTGCTGACTCTGCATGGTTCACATGTGAGGAGCCCCAAGAAAAGCGGAGGAACTTCTGAGAGAATCTCAACAGGAAAGTCATGTTACTCTGGCCTTTTCTCTGCACTTTCATGAAGAAATCCCCTTCATCTCAAGAGGCATCCGGGATCCTTGCCGTATCAGGCCCTGTGTAAGACAAGACAGAGCTTAGACAAATGGAGGAGGGATTTCCTGAATAGGTAGTGTCCTAAGGTGAGATTTGAAGGATATGAGACAGATCATGGTAACTAGAGAGGCCAACTGAACCAAGGGCAGGGTTTGTTTTCAACACAGAGGAAGAGAATAATAGGGAGGCCAATTACCGTTGGTTATAAAACGGGGGTTGTTACTACGTGCAATGTTTAGAGGTTTCCCTTAACCCCAGAGAGACTCAAGTCCATGTCAGAATCAACTGCAGACACTGGGGCCCTTTACAGCGTGTGGCTGTATTTTCTCTGTCGAGACGAATTGATCTCTATCTAGCGCTGAGTGTGTGCAGAGAAAGCAGCGAGGAGGGTTATGAACTGACTGACCGCCTTGCCATGGTGCTCACTGCCTCTTCTTCCCTTTCGGCTTTTCTTTCCTTGATACGGGGTTTAAAGCACCATGCACCCAAGAGATTAGCGACCGATGGGGAAGGCAAGCCCTTGATTTGTGCATAGTGCGTGGTACGGCATTACCTGGATTTTGGGGTCCAAAGGAAATGAACCCTAAGAGCCAACTTGCCATGCCGCTCAACTCAGGAGGACAAAACATTCAGCGGCGAGATACTTTGAGCAAAGTTCTCCTTAGTGCGGAGGGAATGTTGATGCCAATATCCATAGGCGTGGATCTTCAACTGGCAGATCCATGTACATACAAGGAAGCTGAGGGGAAAAAACAGATAGGAAGAAAACATCGTGAAACACGATGCACCTGGTTCACTTACCCTTATCTGCCATATCCTGCTTTCCATACTCTCGTGTGACTAATACTCGGGCTGTGCACCTAAGCCATGGAGGTGCTTTTGAAAATGCCACTGGTAGAAAACAGCCGTAATAAAGCAGTAATAATGCTACCTAGCAGTTGGATAGTGAAAGTTGCCCCCAGGCAGAGGGGCAGCAGAAGGCCTAGAGGCCATTTAAGTCCAACTTGAGCCCACAGCTAGGGCTCTGGCTGCACAACTGTCCTAGTGCGGGGCTTTTCCGATGGAAATCGCTAGCTAACAAAAGACATAAAATGAATTATTCTATAAAGGAGAAGCCTCTTCCCACCTCGCTGAACGGCGTTTAGAATGTAAGCTCTTTCCAGCAGGGGCTGTCTTTATTTCTGTGTGTCCAGCCATATCACACATGGGGGGGCTGCTTGCAAAATCCAGATCAGGGATGGTTCAAAATCAGGTTTCATTTCTTTCAGATAAACAATGTTTGTTAACAGATAAGCGAGGCAGCGAGGCAGCCAATGACTAGGGCACTGGACTGGGAGTTAGGGGACCTGGGTTCTAGTTGCTGACTTGGCTGCTGACCAGGTTTCTCATCTTGGTCCAGCCACTTCACTTCTCTGTGTTCCCCTGGCCACATCCTTCCTCTGTTTAGACTGTACGCTGTTCAGAGCAGGGCCTGTCTCTCACCAGGCCTTTGGACAGTCCCTGGCACAATGGGTCCCTAATCTCAGTGGGAGTTTGTAGGCATTTTTAAAACACAAACAGCCACTACTAGGGTATGGAAGGGGGCCTTATCCCAGCTGTAGACTAGTAGAATTTTGGATTTGAAATTGCCATAATGAAATGCCAATCCAGGGAAGAAGTGGGCATAAAAATGCAAACCCTGGCGCCAATTAAGCACTGGCTTGCTCCCTCTGTTACCCTCACCCAGCTGAGCAGGGAGGAGGGAGTCTGATCCAAAAAGAGGAAGGAAAGGAAACCTTGAGCTTGGGAGTGGTGGGGTAGGACAGCTGGCAAACCCTGGCTTCCCCTGCAGCCCCAGTAGCTTTTTAAACACACTTCTTTGTATGGGGGTGCAGGGAGAAGACCCCTGAAGGAGGCCAGGGAGCACTAGCATCCCCTTGTCTAGCTGTGCTTGGAGCAGCCATTAGCATTCTGGAGCCGGGTGATAACTGGATTTGGGGAGGGGGATGGGCACTTGGAGGGCACTCCTGTGGTCTCAGACCGCCCCACTGGTATTGGATTGGCCTCCAGTCTCCATCCCCCCACAAACACTGCGCCAGCCCAGCGCATTGCTGACAGCGAGGTGCCCCTGTGTTCACACCGCTGCGCCACGATGCGGAGCGTTTATCTCCCCTTTGCTTTTAGACCCGCCACGTTTGCCTTGCGCCCTCTCTTTGCCTTGGGAGCCCGGCTAGTCTGGAAGCCTGGTTTTGTAGAAAGGGGGGGTTAATTTTCTTGAGCTCAGATCATTCACACTGATAATCGGTCCCATGAATTAAACCCTGCTCACACAGTCTCTAGGAGCGGATCATTATTCCCTCGGGTGTACTTGTGGTTTGAAATTCGGATTGTTATATGGCTTGATCGCCGGCGCTTCGCGGGTGTTTGATGCCGACGCGTGCGATCTGCGCGGCTTTGCATGGCCAGAGATGCCTTAGGGCGTGACTTCTGTTCCCGGATTGGATGCGTGGTGCAAATGTTTGTGGGAAGCGAAGGCACAAGGGGCTGGAGTGAAACCCATTCTAAAAACCCGGCAACGGGCACAGAGAAAGTTGCCCGGTATTTTCCTGACACTTTTAAAATTCCCATATTAGCCATTATTAAAATTGGGCCACAAAATCTGATGTGTGCCCAGCTGGGAAATGATTTCAGCGCGGCAGGGTATGCGCATCTCCCTCCCGAGCATTCCCAGGATCTAGTATGCTGACACAATTATTGGTGGAAATCAAATTGAAAACGAATTTTATGCGCTGATCCGGTCAGGGAACAGGGTGCTTTCTCTGACCTCTGCCAACAAAGCAACGCACCTGGCACGTAAAATGTTCCTGATCAATTCACAGAATTAGGAGATCCACTGAGAGACTCGGCTAATGAAATCGTTACAGAGCTGAACCGAATTCATTGCTCAGCCCCGGAAATCAGAGTTTCGGATGCATTCCCCTTACACTCCGGTGCTTGGCTCCTGTCTCCGCTAGAATCGGATTTAAACTCTGAAAGCGACGGAGGCAAAAATGACCCGCTGGGCTTTCTCAGCCGAAACTTACATTTCAACCAGACAGGACCCATTTCCCCCACACTGTCCCCCCTGAGCTTTTTAATTTATTTTGCAACCTCTCCAGCCCTGTCTCGGGCTCCTGACAAGTCTCTTGCACAAAGCTGGCCGGGTTCCTCTCTGCGATGTCTGCTAAATCCGGCAGATGCAGGTGGGTTCTCGGTGCCCCGTTGCTGCGCCGACTAGCCCGCTCTGAACGCGGTGTCGGGATCAGCTCGATTCCTTTAGCCCCCCTCCCCGGCTATTAAAACAAACAGACACAAACAGCTCGCTACCAGCTTTCCTGTGGGCTCCATATTTTCCCTTTCAGCAGTTTCGGTCACCTGTGGACTTTATCCCCCGTTTGTACAGCTGGGGCGGCTTTTTTGGTTTAAACTGCTCCTTTCAGTCTGTTGGAGAAAAGAAAAAGGGGAAGACGGTGACTAAAGAGAGAGCCAGCCGGGCTGCAGACTGACCCTGGGAGTCAACCCTCACCCCGGAATCTAGTTTACCGGCTTATTTATTCTCCGTGGGAGCAGCCTGCCCATCTGGAACTGCTTCCACCCACCATCCGAATTAGAAAAGGGGGGGGGGAGAGTTCAAACGCAGCAGGTTCATATTTCCCTGATCAGGAGGAGCAGGGAGAGAGGCCGCACTCGATGGCTTTGGAGATCAGGATTTAGAGACCCGGCGCCCAGGTACCTGGGGGAGCAGCCTGGGTCCTGGGGGGGGAGATGAGCAGACGGTGAGACCCAGGGTCTTCGCACCCTGACCTCTGCTGGGGTTTGGTCTTGTCTTCAGCAGACAGGTGTTTAAACGGGGTGTGTGTGGGAGGGGGAGGGTCTGTATCTGTAGGCACCCATTTTCAGGGGTCTTTTTTAAAGTGAATAATAAAAAAAAAATCGATCTCGGGCAGTCAGCGGCTGCTTCCCGGCCAGCGATCGCGGTTGTGTTTTGCAAACAATGCTGGGAACGGTTGTTTTTGTTTCTCGTTTCAATTCTCTCAAAACACGCCCCCCCCACCCCTTTCCCCGGTCATTCATGAATTTGATCGCGTCCAAAAGATGCTTTCAGAAACTTCGCCGCTTGTTAAGTCTCCTCTCCTGATGCTTCCCATTCGTTCTCTAGTGAGCTATTGGGTTTACATGATGGTGTATGAGTTGGGGGTGTCCCCTGCTGCTATTGTAACGAGCCAGGTCAGACTGTTTTACAGCCTCAAATCCTCACTTTTAATCCCGAAAAGGAGGGGCGGGGGAAGAGCCCAGCAGCGAGATTTGAGCAAATCGCGTCGTTTGTTAATCTCTTTTATTTACACGATGAACTACCGACAAACACAAACTCCGGCTTCCGCCGTTCCGGCACTAGATCAACTCCCCAACGCAACCGGGGAGATTGTTCTGTGTCCCCGTTCCCTTGAGAGGGCCCCCCCCCCCCAAAACTCAGTGGAACAAGTTTTGAGACAATAATCTGCAGTTTACTTCCCGAAAAGAAAGGAACGCTAAAAATCAAAGGGTTTTTTAGACCCAGACAAGCCACACTGTTGAGAAAATCCTCGGGATCTATGTATCCAGGTCTCCCTAGCTCCCAAGGGCTGCCGATCCTGTAGTGTCCAGGTTTATGTATGTAGCTCGGTTGTTGAATACATATCTATCCACCTCTCTGTCTGATAACTCTGCACAGCGATGTTGGTACACCTGGCACCGTCCCTGTGTGTGTGTGTAGCGGTTTACACACGCAGAAAAGACTGACAAAGGGTGACATGTACACTGTTCGGCTGTGCGTATGTGTAAAAGATTTGGGATCCGATGGTTCTTTTGTCACTACTGTAGGGTGGGAAGCAAGTGGGCGGTTGCTGTTTATTGTAACTTACACGCACAAGTAAGTTGCATGTTTGGCTTTGTGTGTGAGTGTGATGGATTTGTGTCGCAGACCGGTGCGGTTGCTAAGGAACCGATGTCGAAACATTTATCCACAACACACCATCGGACTCCCCAAATGACTCCACGTTTTTTTTCCCCTGGCTCCAACAAAATCTTGGTAATCGTGAGCGTCCGCAAAATCGTGTTTATGTCTGTGTGTAAATACATTGAGAGGAGCTGGTGTCCATGGAAGAAAAGAGGGTGAAACTATGTTTCAAAACTGGCTGAGAACGCTGGTTGGGTACAGGTCTGGTGTCTCTATAAAATATACACCATACACGCCGATATAGGTGTGTACAAAAGACGCTGTGCGTAGGGTAGACGCAGATAGCTACACACATGTGTGGTTTAGGGCGAGGTTACTGCATGAGTCGTGCCCAGATCCCATTAGAATAATGAAGAGAGGGGTAATGCCATGATCCCTCGTCCGATTGTGCCGCATATCCCCGTGTATTGGGCTCTGACATACTTTTCCAAATGGAATTTTTAAACACTGGGGTTTAAACGATTTTTAAATGCCAGCGCCTGTTTCGCGCAAAGCTGGTCCCCCCCAGCCCAGAGCCTTCAGAGCATTTCGAAAAAGCGGCCACAGCTCTGCCAGGGCAAAGTCGTGTCTGTCCTTTTAAGGAAACGGAACATGAGCCAGATCAGGGTGTATGGCTGAGGACCGGGTTTTTGACCGAACGTGGGGAATAGATGGAGTTGTCTTTTATACGTCAGGCTAGTTTCTGAAGTGTGCGCGCAGCAAGGGTTAATGAAGTCCCGGAGCTGGAGTCCTACTGGGGGTACACACACTAAAAAGGGTCAATTTAGTCCCAACTCAGTGAAGACCTTTGTAATTGAAAATCAATCAACCTGCTGGACGGTTGAGAAGAAGGTCAGAGCTCAACGATCAAAGCGTTAGAAAATAGTGGAGGTAAAGGGGGGAGGGGGCTTTTGTACAGGGTGGGGGAAAAAATCTCTTCTCTGACCGTTACATCCAGTCTGTCTGTAGGGCTAGATCTGGATACACACCGCGTCACACGCGCGCTCCAGGCCAGAAAGAATCCAGAGGATGTGCCTGGCTGCAGTAAAGGCTGATCTGAGTTTTGTACGCACCGTGTGATTGGGGGAAATGGGGGGGGGGGAATCTTTCATTTGACTCCCACCCTCGTACCCACACCACCTTATGACACTCTAACGTAGCCTTGTTACAGGGTATATGCGGTGTTTCCTGTGACATTTCTCCCTTCCAGGAATGGTGGAGACCTTCCCTCCAGGGGGGTCAAACACTGGTGCCCGTCTCGGATTGCTCCATTAGGCTTGTGGGGTGCTGTTGTCTCTCCCTCCCTCTCTTCTTCTGCACTTTTGCAAGCTCTCGCATCTCTCCTGGCAGGATTCAGAGCCCTGACATATGAGCACGTCAGGAGTCATTGTGACTTCAAGTCTATGGTAAGCCAGAAGTGATGTCTAAATCGCGCACCGCATTGCCCGAAATTCGGGCTGAGAATGCCGACAGTACTGCGCCCTACATGTGAGGTTCCGAGGCTTGGTTTTCCCGGGGGATAGGCGCCGAAGGAATAGGTTTACACGCAACTTTTCCCGACAAACAGCCTGGAAACTGTGTTTATACGTTGTTCAACTCTGAATAAATAAAGTTCAGTGGAGTTTGTGTCTCTGTCTCCCCGCGTGTTGTTATTTCCCAGAAATCTGGATTACTGGAAATATTTTCTTTAAAGGCGGAGGGAAATCTAAACAGTCTGAGAAACTTGGTGGGAAATGATCGTGGAAGTCGGCAAAGGGGCTAGAGACGCCGGATTAAAAACACGAGGCACTTTAAAGGGATTCCTCGCAGTTCTTCCTGAAAAGATTAAACCAAATGCTAAGAAAAGATGCACCCGTCCATTTTACATGTGGCCCTAAAATAGATCTCTAGGTAGGTCAGTGTGAAATCTCCAGCTGCTGACAGGGAGTGGATAGATTATAAAAGCATGTGGATTCGCATCTCTTAAGGTGTGTGTGTGTTTCTGCACGAAATTCAGGGCGTAACTGACATAAAATATATAGTTAAGGGAAAGGGGAAAATCCAGAATCTAGGTTCATAGCTGTAAATGGGGGGGGGGGGGGGATACGTACGTGTCAAAGAACATAGTTCACTATATTATGTGCATGCTCCTAAATTGCCTTTAAACCCCAGGTTGTTCAGTGCTGGAGTAGCAGAAATGCCCCTGGAAGCTGCCGGGAGCAGGAATCTCTTCCAGTCCACCTGCAAACGCTGCGGGGAGGAGAGAGGCTTCTGGTCGTGAGCAAATCGCCGGTGCTTCTGTGTAAATACCCGCCCCTTAGGGATGAGGAATCGCCCTTCCAGGATCTTGCCTTGGTGCTGGGGGATGGCACATTACGCGGTGTCCCTGCCGGTCCAAGGCCCAGCGCCCCCGCCCGACAGGCGACAGGACGCAGAAGCGGCCGGGGCAGGAGCCGGGGGGCGCTGGGGAGGCCGGAGGACTTCATTGAAACTGGAATGAGGGTGGTCATTGGATTTCCAACTCCGTCGCCTCTGCAGGGATGGGAGGGGAGGGCGTTTGCCAGCCCAAGCGCTGCAGAGAAGGGAGGCGTCCCGGTGGGAAGGGGGCAGTTCTTGAAACACGTAAAGAGAGTCTAAACCCCGGTGGCTGGGAGTTCGCAGCCTGGCTGTTCGCAGGGGGGAGGCTAAAGCGTGTGTGTGGATATGGATATATTGCAGGGGTGTTCGTTGCATGGGTGTTTATCAAGGACACGTTCCACACTCATTCTTCCCTGGATTTAAATCTGATCCGAGTTACAACCGCTGTTGTCACCTCTTGAGGGAGAAAAAAAACCTACCACCACAAAAATCTATAGGCCACGCTGCCTAACTTCTCTGGTCCCCATTCAGTTTGCCTCGACAGCATCTTCTGTGGTGGTTTGTCTTCCCCTTTTGCCTTCCCCCTCTTTCCGATGCTGCGTAACTCTCCTCCCCCGACCCCTTTCTTTTATTTCTGTGAGCGAGACACTGACTTCCAGACCACTCTGGGCCCAGGTGCCATCCCTTGTGGGGTGGGGTGGGGGTAACAACTTGTGCGAGGGAAAATCCTGGCCAGGGCCAAGCTAAAAGGCGTGTGGTAGAGGCCATACACCTTACAACCAACCCCGGCAATTCTGGGGGGTGATCCTTGAGGAAAGAGACTTTTCTCCTGCAGGGAGCGGATTGTCTGATTCCCGTCAAATAATGTGAGTGCTTTTCGCGGCGCCTGTGTGAAGTATGAAATAACACATGTTGCAAAGCAGTGCCCAATCAAGTGGCAGAAAAGAGGGAGTCTGCGGCCGCTCAGGTAATTAATCCGACTGTTGAAAAGCAACCACACAGTGTTCAGCCCGAGCCAGAGACAAAGAATAAACTATTAGACAGGTTTCCTAATGAATAATAAAAGTTCTCGCCAGCCCGAGTTGGAGGGCGAGGGAAATTCTGCTCAGCGCTGCCCTGCCTCCGAGCC